AACAGTCAAGAGGACAAGCAAATTTTATTCTGTATTGAAGCTCAAAAAAGTCACAGGTGATTGGGGCGCCTGGGTAGCTCAGTTGGTTGAGCGTCCGACTTCGGCTCAGGTCATGATCTCGAGGTTCGCGGGTTCAAGCCCCTCATCAGGCTCTGTGCTGACAGCTCAGAACCTGGAGCCTGCTTCAGATTCTATGTCTCTCTCTCTCTTTGCCCCTCCCCTGCTCACGCTCTGTCTCTCTCTGTCTCAAAAATAAATAAAAACATTTTAAAAAATTTAAAAAAAGTCAGAGGTGATAAACGCTATGAAGGAAATAATGTCACCATGAGTCTCTGGAGCTCAGGAAGCAAGTGGAATTATTTTGATGGAGCCAGGAAAGTGGGACCTTGAATGGGAGCCTCAACACTGAACAAACAAGGGTCATGCTTGAGAAGTGAGGACATTCCAAGCTGAGAGAACAATGGCAGCCTTACTATGTTACTTAACCTCTAAGGACCTCATTTCCAAGTCCATGAAAAGGATGACAAAGCCTGTCCTCTAAGGTACCTAGAAAACTTAGGGAAAATGAGTCTGGCACATTCCACAGTGAGGGCTCTATAGCCACTCTCATCACTAACTCTCTGCATTGACGCTCCCTCCTTGATACACCCTGAGGGTCAGAATTGCATATCTACTCACGGTGAGGGGGGGCAATATCAAAACTGTTTGAAGACAAGAAACATTTTAAGAAAAACAACTATCAAGAAAATATGCATGCATTCCAGAAAACTTACAAAGAAGGTGTTTTATACTTGCAAATGAAACAATGTAGGGTCAGTGAAACTACAAAGTTGAGGTCAAACTCCTGAGCAAGAGTCTTCTCAAGCTGCACATGAACAAAGACAGCCTCCGAGGAAAAGAATATTGGCTTACCTGCAGAACATCACACAAAGTAATGAGGTTTAAAAAAAAAAAAAAAAGACCACTTTTACGTGTGTGTGTGTGTGTGTGTGTGTGTGTGTGTGTGTGTTTCCTTCCCAGAAAAATTAGTGTCTTTTTTCATTTTTCCTATCTGAGATCTCACCATGACCTTTTTTAAATGACATGCTACAAAGATAGATACAACAGCACAGAAGGAACAGGAAGAGCATTGGTTTTCCGGATCATGCTGGGAAGGGAAGGAGAGTCCTTTTCTTCCCAGCTTTCTTACTCCCCACCTCTCCCCTTGCCCTGCCACAGACAGTTTGGGAGAGATTAAAACTAATGAGATCTAAGTAGGTAATTTCATATAGTTAATACCACTCACCCAGCAGGAGAGCAAGATAAAAGATTCAAGATAGGGAAAAGGAAGGGCTAGGGAAGCCAAGTATTAGGATTCAGAGTGCCTTTGATAAAGAAGCTAGTAGGATCCAGTAAAAAAAAAAAAAAAAAAAAAAAAAAAATTGTAGTCTAATTAGCAAGCGAATTGCCAAAAGACATACATTCCCACAGAAGTCAGTATACTGTAAGTATGATCATTTGGGCTTTGAAATAGGAACTAGAACTAAATACCTGAACTAACAGTGAATGAAATCTGGTTTGGGAAGTACTAAGTGAAAAACTCCACATTTCCCTTTAACTGAAGCTATATTTTAAAATACTGTATTAACGTAGAGATAGCCAGAGGGTCTGAGTTTTCTTCAGTGGGATTTATACAAGCACATTTAAAAATAAAAAACCAAGAATACATGATATTCTCTAAGAAAACATTACTTACTGTTGGTCTGAAAGAGATACTTATTAAATTCCTTTTGGACTTAGGTTTGCTCACATGTTCACTTCCAGGAAAAGACTACTTGTGACATTAACAAGAAGCAGGCCTCTGTTTCCCAGTAACTGTTGGGAAACGTCAATGACTCATTTATGGGAGTAAACAAAAGGATTAAGGAGAGAAGAGCTATTTCACAACTATAAATACATACTAAAGTTACAGAGCTCTCTCCCAGAAAAAGCTATAAAGAACACTGGGGAAAAAATGAAAAGAGTTTTTGTACAAAGTAAACATACAGGAAAGCAGTAAAAAGAAAAAAAGAGTTTAGTACTTTTAATCTATGCTGAGTGAAATAAATCAGAGAAAGACAAGTACTATGCCATTTCACTCATACGCAGGATCTCAAAAATGAAACCATCAAAACAGAGAAAGATTCATAGATAGAACAACCTGGTGGTCCCCAGCAGGGAGGGAAGTGGAGGGAAGGGAGTAAGAGGCGAAGGAGATTAAGAGGTGCAAACTTCTTAAAAAATAAGTACTTAAAAAATAAGTACGTTGTAGGGTCATCTGGGTGGCTCAGTTGGTTAGGCAACCAACTTCGGCTCAGATCATGATCTCACAGTCCGTGAGTTTGAGCCCCGCTTCAGGCTCTGTGCTGACAGCTCGGAGCCTGGAGCCTGTTTCGGATTCTGTGTCTCCCTCTCTCTCTCTGTTCCTATCCCACTTGTGCTCTGTCTCTCTCACTCTCAAAAAAAAAAAAAATAAATAAACATTTAAAAAATTAAAAAAATAAGTACATCGTGGAGATGCAATGTACAACACAGGGAATATAGTCAATAATATTGTAATAACTTTGTAGGGTGACAGATGGCAACTAGACTCCTAATTTTGTAATGCCTAAAAATATTGAATTATGCTGTATACCTGAAACTAATATAATACTGCACATCAACTATAAGTCAGTAAAATAAAAACTTGAATCTAGATTGAAAACATGTGGCTTCCAGAGAAAATCAAGAGTATATTAGAATGTTTGGTTTGCTTTTGCTTTCATGCCAGCTTCCTTTAGCCTTTTGGTCTCTTTGTATTCAGTGTTAGAAAATGGCCATTAGCACCACCTACCACATCAATTTAATGAAAGAACCATTTCCTGAAATATTTAATTCATAGCACTAACAGATTTTTTAAATTTCTTTAGGTTTAACTCTTTACCAAAGATTATGCACATACTATAGTCTTTACGTACAATGTACAATATTAGAAAAAAAGCTACTCGGGGAAAAGGATTCTTCTGATATAATAGTAAATCTTAGGCAAAAATTTTTTTTTGAAATTTTATGTTTTAAATTTTGAAATAATGGTCAACATACATAATAAATTGCAAGAATAGTAAAAGCAACCCCCATACCCTCTTTACCTAAATCCCCAATTGTTAATGGTTCACTGCATTTGCCTCATTACCTTCCCATTCTCTCTCTGTATATATGGACTTTTTTTTTTCTATTGGATGGGATGCCCTATCACCTCTAAATACTGTAGTGTTTTCTCCAAAAATAAAGAAACCTCCATATGTTATGACCACACACCCTTTTTATTCAGTTAAATAACAGAGCTAACAACATTGACCCAACACATAGATCCCAAAATTTAACATAACCTAATAATACCTCTTTAACCATTAAGTTCCAGCAACCTACCCAACAATACTGCATTTAGCCGACATGTCTCATCAGATTCCTGCAATCTGATTAGTTTCTCCTCATTTCGCCAGCGCTTGAGGGGCTTCAAGGCTTTCATGCTATAGGATAGCCCTTGGTGTCTGACATTTCCTCATGACAAGACTGAGCATCGCATCAAGAGGCACACTCGGGTAATGTCCCACCACTGGTGATATTCAAATTATCACCTGGTTTCTGCCAGTTTCTTCAATGGAAACCCACTTTTGCACAAGATGGCTGGGCCAGAAAGGATAAAGAAATACTATCACGGAAGTTGAGGTCCCAGAGTTGGATGGCAGTGCTGTTCTCAGCATCATGCACTGTAGTAAAGCTTCCTCCCCTTGTTTTGGTTACTATTGTATGGGGAGGTATTTTGATTACTATCTCATGGAGAGGTATTTTGATAACATCGATATTCTGTTCCTCATCAAACCCCTACAGGCAAGCCTTTAATTGATGGTTCTCACCTGTGCCTACTACCCAGGTGCTAGTTGCTAAACAATGATTGTGTATTTCATCATTTCTTCTTTATCTATCATTGATAATCTACTCTGAAGTCCTTTTCCTTCTTCCTTATTTATCTACTTATACAAGTGTGGAGTGGTGGATTTCTCTTTTATTCATTAAGTAGCAATCTCATACTCTCATTATCTATTTTGATATTTAAACTGTCATACGGTTGGTGAGCTCCTTCAAACTTACATCTGTGTTTTGCTTTTTTTTTTTTTTGCCATGTTTCAATCAGCCTTTAACCATTTAATTATTTTATGCATAACAATATATTATATGCTAATCTTAATACCCCTGTTATATGCTCACCGGCTCCAGCTCTATAATCCAAGGAGCCTTGGTTCCTTTTAGTGGAAGATTATTTCTAGAAATCAAATCCAAGTGTTTGGTGTATACATTACTAATAGAGTGTCATAGTTCATGGTCTTTCAGTAAACAGAGTTAGGAAATACAGGGAGCTATAGAGATTCGTGTATATATAATTTTTATATGTAATCTATTTGCAAAGTTACATAGATATAAAATCATATTCATATACATATGTTTATGTAAACACACAATAATGCACATAAACCTATAACTCTCAATATCTGGGCATTCACAGTCCTGAGCTTTGTAGGTTTACAAGTATTGGTTCTTAAGGGAGCATTACGATACAGCAAGAATCCCACCGATCCTTAAGTTACAGCTACCTCCCTCGTCTGTTGGGGTCTCAGTGCCAAGGGATTAGGGGGCAAGAGCAAGAATCATCATGCTGGCAGGAACCACTGGCTCTTATCAGAAGAAGGTACAGCTTCTGTTACCTGAGGAGGGCGGGGAGCCATTTTTGGGCACCAAAGTGAACCATTTGAGTATCTCTTGGTATTCCTCTGTTCATTTTTTAAGTTAAATGTTAAAGCTCAAAAGCCCGAGAAGGATGTGACAAGAACCCAGAGCCTTCAGTGTAGAGGGTCTAGATCACTCCACCGAGTAAACCACTTAGGACAGCAAAGTTCTGAGAGTGAGGGCAATCTAGAATGTCAATAGAGGAAGACATTACTTACCACTCACAGGCCTGAGTCTTCAGTTGTGAGGATTATAGTTTGTACCACTGACCTCTCTCTTAGACATCTCCACCAGGAAAAGAGGCCCACCAGAATGCTGGAGTAGCTGCACAGAGAAGAAGCGGACAAACTGTAACAAACACCGCGTTCTCCCGTTCAGATCCCCCCATGCAAGGCTTTAAAGCTAATTCCCTGCTTTTGTGAGGACGGCCTACTGACAGGTGTCAGTACTTAGTCCTTCCCAGGAATTGCCCATGGCTGAAAGAGAGATCTATCACCCTCAAAAACCTTTCAAATGTATTATTTATTCCGCAATTTGAATTATACAAATTAATATATGAATACATTCTCTTCATTAAATGCAACTACAAATAAGGTAATTAAGTTCCTTTAGCTCTACCTTAATACCAGTCACCTTTCCTCTCCACAAAGAAGCACTATTCTTAGTTTGCATTTATCCTTCAAGACCTTTTTCTACACATGTGCAATTATCCCAGTTCTTATCAGTGACCAATGTAAAATTATACATACACAAACGGATGCGAGCTGAGTTCATGCATGCTTGGTAGGCTGAAGTTTGTATTTCCATGCTTTAACATTCATTTGGGTGCGTTTTCTCATGTTTGATAGGGTATATACCCTTATTGTTTTACAGATGTATGCTATGTTTAAGGCATTAGTATTTATGTTCCAGTTTGCTATTTTTTCCCCACTGTAAATAAAGAGTATGATAATTTTTGGAGATATTTTTAGGGGTGCCTGAGTGGCTCAGTTGGTTAAGTGTCCAACTTCAGCTCCGGTCATGATCTCGCAGTTGGTGGGTTCAAGCCCTGGTTTGGGCTCTGTGCTGACAGCTCGGAGCCTAGAAACTGCTTCAGAATCTGTGTCTCCCTCTCTCTCTGCCTCTCCCCCCACTCGTGCTCTGTCTCTCTCTTCTCTCTCTCTTTCAAAAATAAACATTTAAAAATAGTATTTTTTATAAGCCCAAGCAATATACAATATATAATACAGCTAAAATTCCAGAAGTCTATATTTCACAATTTACAAAAGACATTTGAGGGTCACCTGAATGCCTCATTCAGCTAAGCATCAGACTCTTGATTTCAGCTCAGGTCATGATCTTGTGGTTTGTGAGATCCAGCCCCAAGTTCAGGGGGTGAGGGGTGGGGGGGGGCTCCACGCTAACAGTGCAGAATCTGCCTGGGATTCTCTCTCTCCCTCCCTCTCTCTCTCTGCCCCTCCCCTGCTTGTGCTTGCTCACTCTCTGTCTCTCAAAATAAATAAACATTTTTTAAAAAGAAATTTGAAATCACTGTATTAATGTTAATTACTTCCGATTATACAAGAGGATTACATTAACAAGTTAAAAAAGAAATCACTTATAATCCAATTATTCTTTCATAATGTTTTAAATGTATATAAAAGTAAGAAAAAAAATTTCCTCTTTCCTTTCTCCAGTGTATTTAGTATTTAGTATTGGTATTTAGAAATATCAATACCTTATTCTACCCATACATCTATGTATTTATATATCAACACATTTTGTGTTTAATGTCATAGCTAGAAACTTAGAAAGATGAGAATAAACACACAAACATATGGACACGGCTAATTCTGTTTAGTTTTCTACCAAAAGAATGGAATTTTACAACATGCTTTGTTATAAAGCCTTTATTATAAACTATCTTTACAAGTCAGCATATAAACATATATGTCATTTCCATATGAGTAGCGTTCCATTGCATTAATCCCCCAAAACTGATGTCAATAATGCTTAAGCGGATTTATGCATTTTTGATAGGAAAAAAACTGTCATTTTGATTTGCATTTTATAGTGTTTATTTTTATAAGATTTTTTAAATTTTTAATGGTTATTTATTTATCTTGAGAGAGAGTGAGAGTGCACAAGTGGGGGAGGGGTAGAAGAGTGGGAGAGAGAGAATCCCAAGCAGGCTCCATGCTGTGAGCACAGAGCCCAACATGGGGCTCCATCCCAGGAACCTTGAGATCATGACTGAGCCACTCAGGCACCCAGATGTTTTTTAGTCACTCCAATTCAAACGTGAACTGTTACTCTTTAACTATTGTCTACTTTTGGTCTAGGCTGTTGAGGGTTTTTTTGTAATATATTTTGTTGCACTTTTTCTATATAGTGAAAGTATTACACTTTTTCCTGTTCAATTACCTTCTAAATGTTTCTACCCATTTTCCCTTCTAACTTTGTTAAACGGTCTTTAACCATTCAATGTTTTTAATGCTAATGTGCCCAACTCTGTCCATCTCACCCCTTATGGTTTTTGAGGTTTATGTCATGGATGGAAAAGCTTTCCCTACTACAGAATTTATAGTTTCTGTTTTGGTCTACTTTTAGTAATTTTTTTGATCATGTGAAATATTGACAAAGTTTATCTTCTTCCAAGTGAATGGACAATTGCACCAATCCAGTGAATTGAAAAATAATTTTTGGCTCTCTTCCACTCTAACCTCTTTTTTTTTTTCCTTCCCCTCCCCCATGGGTTTCTGTTAAGTTTCTCAGGATCCACATAAGAGTGAAACCATATGGTATCTGTCTTTCTCTGTATGACTTATTTCACTTAGCATAACACTTTCCAGTTCCATCCATGTTGCTACAAAGGGCCATATTTCATTCTTTCTCATTGCCACGTAGTACTCCATTGTGTATATAAACCACAATTTTTTTTATCCACTCATCAGTTGATGGACATTTAGGCTCTTTCCATAATTTGGCTATTGTTGAGAGTGCCACTATAAACATTGGGGTACAAGTGCCCCTATGCATCAGTACTCCTGTATCCCTTGGGTAAATTCCTAGCAGTGCTATTGCTGGGTCATAGGGTAGGTCTATTTTTAATTTTTTGAGGAACCTCCACACTGTTTTCCAGAGTGTCTGCACCAATTTGCATTCCCAAAGCATAAGAAACTCTTAAAAACTGAGAACAAACTGAGGGTTGATGGGGGTGGGAGGGAAGGGAGGGTGGGTGATGGGTATTGAGGAGGGCACCTTTTGGAATGAGCACTGGGTGTTGTATGGAAACCAATTTGACAATAAACTTCATATATTGAAAAAAAAAAAGAAACATACTCCTGAAATCATTGTTGCACCATACACTAACTTGGATGTAAATTAAAAAGAAAATGGTAATAAATAAATAAATAAATAAATAAATAAATAAATAAATAAAACATGGCTAGTGCAATGACCTAGATGAAAGATAAGAACCCAAAACAACATGGTGGTGGAAGAACAGAAATGGAGGGGTGGATTCCACAGATATTTGGGGCAATTAATCTGTATAACCAATTTAATAGAAGTTGTAATATTATAATAAATATGTATTTCATCTTTGTTCCTGGTTCCTGGGACTGAGCTCCTACAACTCTTGTAATCTGTAACTCTTGTCAACCCAGTTACATCTTTTGTTACTTATAATAAACCACTTCCAACCATAAAAAAAAATAATAATTTTTTCCCAAAGATACAAAATACATTATCATGCCCTAAAGTACCCTTCTATATCTTATTTTGTTTATATAAAGGGTTAAATGATGTCTTTGGGGTTAAAAATGGTATGATGGTAAACTCAAAACTTTTACAGTGGAAACACCTGCATCAGGCGTTGTCACTGCAAATATGTAACTTGATCTAAATCTGTTTCCATATCCTTCAAATGGGGATCCTACCTTCCTCCTAGGGTTGTCTTGAAGATTCAGTGACCTAAAAGTCAATTGCCTGAGGCATGACATGTGCGAGGAAGTTAATTCCTGTGGGTCCTCTTTCCCCATTTCCTTCTACTCATTCTAATAAACAGCTTTTATCAGGTTCTTCCAAGTAATATACTTGACATTGGCTCATTCTAGTGGAAAACTTGAGGTGCAAATAACACATCCAGAAGTTTAGAAATTCTATGAGTCCCTCACCCCTAAATTTTATTTTCCTTTGTATTTGCCACTATAGTGAAATAATATTCATAGCACCTTGTCTCTGGGGAATCACAGGAGCTTATTGTAAGTGAACTAAAGAGTGGATGACTTTTAGTTCAGCACACCTGTCACATCATTTTCAAGTACAGGAGGCTTCTTAACAAACCTGCACTCTATAATAGTGTTTCATTTCTGCTAAGAAGTCAGTCTTCCCCAAACTGTTCTATTGAAAGCACAAAGAATCTCAATGTTCCAGAAGGTGAAACAGAGGTGGAAGTTGTCAGAGAAGTTGGTGATGGCAAATACACAGCATTTCAATGATACTGATGGTGTTCATAATACTATGAAGAAGTCCTTAACAATTAATAGGAAAAAGTGTTATTAATTATACTTTCAATAATGGATGTAATATGGATTTTAGTATTAAAAAACATATAAAATATGTGGTTACATATTAAACAGGGCAATTAAAAGAGAAGAAAACCAACAGTTGACATCTTTGTTCCATGTTTTAAACAAGGTGAGGTCAACACATATTCCATGAATGTCTTGCTATTACCAGGTACTGGGCCAGGCTCTAGAAGTTACAGTCTTAGAAAAATACACCTTTACTGGATTTTTCCAGAAATACTATAAATTATAATTTCATATTAGTTTGCAAGGCTTGGGAAAGATTCCATGCAACTCAAAATATATGTGATATAAATGACTAAACATGAAATGATATTAACAATTTTTAATTATGATAATGGTATCTGTGTTCTCTATTTTTAAGAGATAAGATACTATAATATTTTGGTTTTATTTAAAATAATTCAGTTTTTTTAAGGGGTAGAAATGGGAGTACAGGTGAGACAAGATTGGACAGGTGTTGGTTATTACTGAAATAGCATAATGGGTATAAAGAAATACCACTATTTTTGCATGTATTTGAAATATTCTCTAATAAAAATTGTTAATGATGCGATACCAAATAAATCCACAAATATCAGTGGCTAGATCACCTATCATAGTCCATATAGAAGACTAATTCCTTGTATCATCATACAAATTCACTCTAATGAAGATTTTTCAGATTCAAAATCCAAGCCCTATCGCTCACTAGCTATGTTTTATTAGCCAGGTTAATTAAGCATTTTGTGTCTGGATTTTCTTATTTGT